ACCTTGAATATAGAGATGAACAGTTTGTCAGCGCAACTCCTCATAAACCACTGCACAGAATTTCGTCAAGCTTTGCAGATATTTAGGACACAATATGTAGATGTGCATATTACCAGGAAATTCCGATTCCGTTATTTTTTCCGGGAATTTATGCACTAAAAACTTAAGTTTTGGCCGTACCTTTTATATAGAAATGAATAGTTTGTCAGCGCAACTCCTCATAAACCACTGCACAGAATTTCGTCAAACTTTACAGATATTTAGGGCACAATGTGTAGATGTGCATATTACCAGGAAATTCCGATTCCTGTATTTTTCTAGAATTTCCGCACTTTTCAACTTAGATTTTTGGCCATGCCTTAAATATAGAGATGAGCATTTTGTCAGCGCAACTCCTCATAAACCGCTGCACAGTATTCGTCAAACTTTTGAGATATTTTGGACACAGTGTGTTAGATGTGCATATTACCAGGAAATTCCGATTCCTTTATTTTTCTGGGAATTTTGGCACTTTTCAAATTAGACTTTTGACCATACCTTGAATATAGAGATGAGCATTTTGTCAGCGCGACCCCTCATAAACCGCTGCACAGAATTTCGTCAGACTTTGCAGACATTTAGGACACAATGCATAGATGTGCATTTTACCAGGAAATTCCGATTCCATTATTTTTCTGGAATTTCCGCACTTTTCAAATTAGATTTTTGGGATATCTTGAATATAGTGATGAACAGTTTGTCAGCGCAACTCCTCATAAACCGCTGCACAGAATTTCATCAAACTTTGCAGATATTTAGGACACAATTTGTAGATGTGCATATTACCGGGAAATTCCGATTCTTTCATTTTTTCCGGGATTTTCAGCACTTTCAGTTTTGGGGAGCATGGGGTATGTGAGCTTGCTCACTTTTTCTTTCATTTAAAATTTGTGCAGATTTAATTAAAGATTATGCATCAGCTTTGCTTTTTTTGTCATTAGACTACTGTTGATTACTGTAGGTTTTACATTACGTGGAAAAGCCAGAAACTTACATCAGTACCATCATTAACTGTGGTGTCTACTTGTTTTCCCCCGACATTTTCTGTACCCTGGAGAAGATCTTCAAGAAAAACCAGGAAGACAACTACAAGTAAGGGAGATAATCAGTAAATAAAGGGGAGATAATCACTGTAGCTTAGAGGATTTATATTTTAACTTGTACATACATTGTAACTACTAAATGTATACAAGTCTTTTGATTAGAATGAATAGAATATTTGAGCTATATTTTTCTTAATTTTTTAATAATGATCATAGCAGGAATATTTATTTGGATGAACTGGTTTTTAATGAATGCAAATTATTAAAATAAAGGAGTGAAAATTGCATGGATTAAATATTACATCCTAAACTTAATGTTCTGTAGTCTTTACAACATACAAAATCAACATTTAATATTAAGAAAACTTTTTTTATACAAAAGCATTAGCAGTCTCATACATAATGAAGAGAGGGGGAATTTAAACTCCTGAAGAGGGGGAATTTAAAATCCTTTTTGTTTTAATGACATTGGGGCATTATACATGTATCAACAGAATGCTGTAAGGTGACCTTGAATTTGTTCATTTTTTTCAAATGAGGTTTCACACGAAAGAAAAACACTTCTTTATCTCTCTTCTTCTGGGCACCATAAACATTAATTACTTCATAGTCCTGTAGTGTGTAGAATGAATGAATGATGCAGAATATGAATTATGGTACTTTCAGTTTCCAGACAGGAAGTGGGTGTTATTCTGGGTAATTGTGCATGATTTTGTTTGCTACATTTAAATTGCTTTGAAGAATGCCAATATGAAGTAAGTTAGGACTACCAATACAGAAATTGCACATTTTGTTTTTCTTGCCTTTATTTATGTTTGTGAATTAAACCTCCCAGAATTATTTTGAACTGAACATTTTGATTTGAGGTCTCATGAACGGGAGTAAGTATAAATTTCTTTGTCTTATAACCCTAATGGTCTTCTTGACTGTGTTCACATTGTTTGGAAAACAGGTTTAACCAACAATGTTTTAGAAATACTCAATATATCGTGGTGTTTGTGATTTGTAAAATTTTAAAAGGAGTAGATCATCATGATATGTTTTTCTTAAAGTACATGTCTATCAGTGGATGTCTTTCATTGTTTATGATTCAGAGAAAGCATGCAAACATTGAATGGTGTAGGGGATAGTCTAACTGCATGCCATAGGGATTAAATTGTGCCCCATCTAGACACCTAGCCATTTCTGTTGTACAATGTTATATACTAATAAACAGGAAAACTATTCTTACTAGCTTTTAAAAATGACTGTAAAAATTGATCAGGTTCAATAAAAAATCTTTTTTCTTTTTTTTGCTTGAATTTGTTTATTAATAGCAGTCTTATACCCAATGGCTTAAACAGTCTTTAAGAATCTTTTCTGTGAATGATGATCTTTTCTTATAAGTCCTATTTTTTTGTGGAAGATGTTTAATCCTTTACCTATTTTGACAGCTATGACCCCAGCCTACAGTTGAATGAGAAGATCAGATTAGAGCAGGATATTTTTGTTCCCATGGCGGGCTCCGGGAAGTTGTATGTCTACCACACTGATAGATTCTGGAGCCAGATCAAAACCACAGGGTAAGGGGGCTACAGGAAATCTTAAAATAATAGATATGACTGGTACATTGAATACTTGCATACAAAAAAGAGAAATATATATAGCTGGAACCATATTAAAGCTATACATACAAATAATAAATATACCCGCTACTCTAATAAAGCTGTATACATCAGCAATCAATCATTCTATGGAATTTTTCTTTTTAATCCATTGATAGAAAATTGCCTAGATTCCTTAGATATGTTCTTTAAGTAAATAACCTGTATTCTGAGAGGTATGCATGTACAGTTATTTCTGTGGTATTGCATGGATGAGTTTAGCAGTTTCTGATGATTAAAAGTTCTACATGTGTATTGTCATGGCAGATTTGTTCCTTTAAATTCAGAGCTGCCATTTATGCAAACCGACATTACCTAGCTCTCTATCAGGACTGGCACAGAGAAAGGCTGGCTAGAAATGGGGAGCTGAAGCCCCAGATCATTGGAGACGTATACATCCACCCCACAGCCGACGTCCACCCAACAGCCGTGGTAAGGCCGCAGATTGTTAATGTATAAACACTGTGTTATCTGCAACAGCTGTGGTAAGGCCGCAGATTGTTAACAGATTAATGCTGTGTTATCTTATGTGTGCAGTTAATTAGAAAAAAATTCACAAATGCTCAATACTTCCAATTTAAGCGCATTGAAAATACTTGAATTCCTTGTATTTGATTGATTAAGTTGGTTATTTTGATGTAATAAAAAGGTGTTTATTTTTTTTGGAAAAGTAAATCACAAACATATAAGAGCAGATTACATAAAATGTTACCATTTATGACCACAATGTAATTGTGAAAATCTACGTTTTAAGTAGTGTTGGCACGAGTACCCGGTTAACCGGTTAACTGTCGAACGATGCGAGTATCAGTTAGTAAAATTGCTATTCGGTTACTCGGATAAAATGCATCTTATTTGGTAAATAACTAAAAAAAAATGTTAATTTGTTTATAAGCGTACAAATAAATATTTCTCTCGGTTTCACTAATACGATTGATTGGTTTTCACACTTAATTGATAGCTTTGATTGCCAGCAGGTTATACAAGTTTTGAAGACCCATGTTATAATAACCTCATTAAATAATTTAACAAGATGCCGCCAAAGACATGTACATATATAGCTTGGAAGTATTTTTAAAGAACAGCTGATTCCATACCTGTAAAATATAATTAATGTGAATTGGAGTTATCCTGACTTCAAATTTCTAAATTATTATTACCCTTGAGCGTGACATATATCGGGGGTTGAAAAGTAAAACTGATGAACGCCATTGTAAAATAGCGTGAAACGTTGGAATATTTTTTTCTTCTATTTAATTATTAGCTCACCTGAGCTGAAAGCTCAAGTGAGCTTTTCTGATCACCCGGTGTCCGTCCGTCCGTCCGTCCGTTGGCTGGTCCGTCCGTCCGTCTGTAAACTTTTCACATTTTCAACTTCTTCTCAAGAACCACTGGGCCAAGTTTAACCAAACTAGGTACAAAGCATCCTTGGGTGAAGGGAAATTTAAATTGTTAAAATCAAGGGCCAAGACCCCTTCCAAGGGGAGATAATCAAGAAAATACGAAAATAGGGTGGGGTCATTAAAAAATCTTCTTCTCAAGAACCACTGGGCCAAAAAAGCTGAAATTCATGTGGAAGCATTCTGGGGTAGTGTAGATATTAAATTGTTAAAATCATGACCCCCGGGGTAGGGCGGGGCCACAATGGCCGACCGAAGTTTTACATAGAAATATATAGGAAAATTCTTTAAAAATCTTCTTTTCAAGAACCACTGGACCAGAAAAACTTAAACTTATGTGGAAGCATCCTTGGGTAGTGTAGATATTAAATTGTAAAAATCATGACCCCGGGGGTAGGGCGGGGCCACAATTGGGAATCCAAGTTTTGCATAGAAATATATAGAACAAATCTTTAAAAATCTTCTTCTCAAGAACTACTAGGCCAGGAAAGCTAAAAATCTTATGGAAGCATCCTGGGGTTGTGTAGATATTAAATTGTAAAAATCATGACCCCCAGGGTTTGGACAGGGCTACAATAGGGAATCCAAGTTTTACATAGAAATATATAGAACAAATACTTAAAAATCTTCTTTTCAAGAACCACTGGACCAGAAAAGCTTAAACCTCTGTGGAAGCATCCTTGGGTAGTGTAGATATTAAATTGTAAAAATCATGACCCCCGGGGATAGGGCGGGGCCACAATAGGGAATCCAAGTTTTACATAGAAATATATAGAACAAATCTTTAAAAATCTTCTTCTCAAGAACCACTGGGCCAGGAAAGCTGAAACTTATGTGGAAGCATCCTTGGGTAGTGTAGATATTAAATTGTTAAAATCATGACCCCCGGGGGTATGGCGGGGCCACAATGGGGAATCCAAGTTTTACATAGAAATATATAGAACAAATCTTTAAAAATCTTCTTCTCAAGAACCACTGGGCCAGGAGAGCTGAAACATATGTGGGAGCATCCTTGGGTAGTGTAAATATTAAATTGTTAAAATCATGACCCCCGGGGGTAGGGCGGGGCCACAATAGGGTTTTACATAGAAATATATAGAACAAATCTTTAAAAATCTTCTTTTCAAGAACCACTGGGCCAGGAAAGCTGAAATTTATGTGGAAGCATCCTGGTGTAGTGTAGATATTAAACTGTAAAAATTATGACCCCCGAGGGTAGGGCGGGGCCACATTAGGGAATCCAAGTTTTACATAGAAATATATAGAACAAATCTTTGAAAATCTTCTTCTCAAGAACCACTTGGCCAGGAAAGCTGAAACTTATGTGGGAGCATCCTTGGGTAGTACAGATATTAAATTGCTAAAATCATGACCCTTCGGCGTAGGGCGGGGCCACAATGGGGAATCCAAGTTTTACATAAAAATATATATAGAACAAATCTTTTAAAAAGATCTGCATCACCCAAGTTACTCAGGTGAGCGATGTGGCCCATGGGCCTCTTGTTTTTTTGATTATAATTATATTTAAGGAATGACTCTAATTCTTGGCCAGATTATCGAGTATAATATGGTTTGGGTGAGTTTACGCTTTATAATACGCGAAGCGGATTATAAAAAAGCGTAAACTGACCCAAACCATATTATAATCGATAATCTGGCCAAGAATTAGAGTCATTCCTTATAATTTAATTTTAAAATAATTAAACAACTGGGGATGTAAAATTGTGTTGTTTTTATCAGTTCAAATTTACCGCGCAATAATACAACCGTAGTAACGGAAGTGATGGGAAGCAAGGGGAGGTAAAAACTATCTAGCAGCCATGGTGCTTGTTTACATGAGGTAAGATCGAGCAACTGTTTGAAGTTAAAGGTACATTCATTAAATCTGGAATTTTTCATGAATCCGAAGGACTGGAAATGAGGGGATTGATGGATACAGATGATTCAGCTGGTTGTCAAGGGGGTGTGTCCCCATACCAAACCAGATTATACAAAATGTTATGCGTTCCTTTTTGGAAATCAACCAATGAGAGACAAGAATACAAACAGAATTAAATTATTTAAAATTCAAGATATTTCGTGCGTGTTCTTTCTATGTTTATAAATAAAGTTAATTCACAATGCCTTTGTGTTTATGAGAACCGACGAGTAAAAGATGAGATAAATGATACATATGAATAAATCATCCGAGTAACCGGGTACTCGATCGGAAGATTGAGCGAGTAACCGGTTACTAAAAATCGTCCGATTTGCCAACACTAGTTTTAAGGTTTATTGATACTCTGATAAGAGAGATAACTCTTTAACGACACAAATGTCTCATTACTTTATGAATTTTTTAAATTGAACAGTCTTTTTTGTTTGATTAAATAGTCATTTTAAAAGTAAGAAGTATTTATTTGCCACTTTCTAGACAAAAGTTTCTGAATACTCTAATGAAATCAATTTCTCCTAATTTGTTGATATTTTGATTTGTAGCTTGGTCCCAATGTTAGCGTAGGTAAACATGCAGTGATTGGAGAAGGTGTGAGGGTCAGGGAATCCATTGTTCTAGAGGGTGCTGTTCTACAGGTAAACTTTTAAGATATATTAAATGCTGTATGAAGCAATGTTCCAAGTACTAGTATTTAATACGTCTAAGGCTTTTAGTGTAATTTGGGATGGGTAATATCATTTATTGTAATCCTACGGTGACTTTATTGTGAATCCTGCTGGTTTGTATTGTAGGATAACTGCTGTGTGCTGTACAGTGTGATTGGTTGGAATGTTACCATAGGAATGTGGACTCGTGTGGAAGGCACACCTAATGACCCCAACCCCAACAAACCATTTGCTAAGGTCGATGTCAAGGACACATTTAGTCCCGAGGGGAAACTCAATCCATCCATCACTGTCATTGGTGAGATATAGCTTGTATACTTACATAGGTTCATAAACATAAACATCTATAATATTGAGTGGGGAAAATGCAAATCCATCCCAATATTGAAAGAGGTACATCTGTATTTGTATAAAGTTCAAAGTAAGAAAACTATAACAGGTTAATTTTATGAAGTTAAAAACAGATCAAATTTGTTATGGTTAAAAAAAAAACAAGATTTTGAAAATTCATTCTCATCAATAGTGTACATTTGTTTGGGCCTATATCACAGGATGTTACCTAGTAAATAATTGAGATATTTTCTTTCCTTTCAGGGAGTAATGTACAGGTACCCTCTGAGGTGATCTTACTGAATGCTATAGTGTTACCCGACAAATCACTCAGTGGAAGCTGCAAGAACCAAATCATCCTCTAGCGTTACCATGGCAATCTCCCAGAATGCACTGCCAAAATCATTCCCAACATGCCATTTTTGTTCCTTCATAACTTTCTGTAAACGTTTTGAACAATTTCATTCTAAACGAGTTTGTTATTTGTACATGTATATAGTAATTTATTAACACTTACATATTCATTAAATATCTATTTTCCTATTGCTTCGTTATAAGAATATGTTCATAATATTTATAAAGTATTTCGAGACATTTATTTACAGAGAAGACTGTGCTTATATACATGACATTTTTTGCAGTGATTCAATCATTGCATCAGAGACTTTGAGAGTGCTCATTTATATTGAAGGGATCTGATTTAATAAGAGGAATTCCATAATCTTATACAATTGAACCATATATTTTATGTATTCCATGCTTTGGTATCATTAAATTTGAAATTGATGAAAGAAAGTATGCCTGTCTATTTTATTTTATTTTTTATTTTAACTTTTTTTAATATGAATATTCCAGTGATTTTACAATTTATGACAGTAGGTTGTGTCATTTCCAATTGTTTCAGAAATCTTAGGTTTCTTGTGATATTTTTATGTCATATGCATGTATAAAATCAGAAACCTCAGATTCAGTCACAAGTAGTTTTCCATTGCTGATATCATAGAACAGATTCTTTGGTATGAAATTCATCTCTGGAAATGTTTTTACAAAGTGGCCATCTTTGTGAATTAGTCCTAGCTGGTTACTATCGAGACACGTGATGACGTAATCTCCGACTGATGCAATACCAAGAGGCGTGTCATACATAGGTACCTCCCACTGGAAATTCCCGCTAAAGTCACAACACACAACCCGACTTCCTTCATTGTCACTCAAATAAATTGAACCCATCTTTGCCGATGGATCTGAAATGGCAAGAAATTTTCCGAACGGCCTTGTGAATCCTCCAAAATTTTTGTTCTCCGTTAGACCTCGTACGTTGTCAATGGTCAGTTTTATCCTTCCTTTCATGTCCATCATTATTAGAGTAGCATGAGGATCCATAATGTCACACGTCACAAACAGACGTGATTTACCGTAAACAAGGCCAAAACACTGGGAATTTCCTGGGATTGTGAACTTCTTTCTAGAGTTCTTGAATCTGTGATCATCAACGTTGACAAAAATGATGCTGTCCTGCTGTGTAAGAGCGATTTCGTTTTCGCTCGTGTAGGTCATATCTCGACAGTCTGTAGGGACCACGGTGTCTAGTAGGAAGTTAAAATGGCGGTCAAACAACTTAATCTTGCTGTTCTTCTCATCAAACATAACGTACTTCCCGTCTCGGAAACTGCACATTTTTTGAATGGAGCATTCGTTCTTATCTTTCTTGCCCCGACAGTTTATTTTGTGGGAAAATTCCAGATCTAAGTCACCCTCCTCACGTCTCCTACCTACCCAGCTTCTGGTTTGTGGGTTTCTCTGACTCTTTTGTGCCATTTAAAAGCTTCGTGTCCTTTGTGATCTGTAAAGCAGAGAGAAAGCTTTTTGTGCCCATACTAATCTGATGTTTTCATTGCATTGAAAATGTACTATCTATGATTTTGTTAAAATTTAATGAAACATCCTAAGATTTCGATTTTTTGGACAGGTAACTGTGTAACATTCACGACAAATTTTTTTATAGCTCGTCTGAGCTGAGGGATCGTTTTTGAAGTAAGCTTTTCACAATTTTGACTTGAAGAACTACTGAGTCAGTTTTGACCAATCTTGCCTCAAAGCACGAGTCACACCTCTTTCAAGGTGAGATAATTAAATAAGATTAAGTGATAATGTTTTGGCATCCATTTAAAGTCTCCCTCTCAAGAAACTTTAGGTTTGAATAAATGATTCCTTTGAAAGCTCATGGCAATGTGTAGACTCAGTTTTTCTTCAAATTATGACCCATTAAGGTAGGGTTGGATTACAATAATACGCGGGAATATATAAGAATTAATCTCTAGAAATGGTCTTGAGAACGACAAAGCCCCGATTATGGAGAAAGATGGGTAAAGTTAATCAATCAATGTTATTTTTAAACCTTCCTTTCAAGAACAGTAAACCCTACTAAGTCATATAAAATATGACAGCATCATCAAGTTGTGTTTAGGTAAGGTTCAAACTTGTTCAAATCATAGAGTGGGGCCACAATAGGCATTGATCAAATAATAACATAGAAATTAATTATTTTCAAGATAACTAAAGCCCTGATTATACTCGTATTTTAAATTTGGTTCCGTATTGTATTTGGGAAAAACGAAAGAACTAATTTGACTCAGGTTAGCAAAAAATATTGGTCGCCAAAATGGTCTCATGGGTCATAACACTCACCTGAGTCACTTCATCATCAGATTTTCCCGAATATATTCGTCATGCAGTAAAACTGCATAAATTTACAATGAATATACCTTTAATGGAAGTTAAACACAAAAACATATTAAGTAATTGAATCTTTTTTGTTTATTCTTAATTAGTCCATGCACATTCACCAACCAAATTTTATTCGATTGAGAGGAGTATCTCCGAATCTCTCGACCTTCCTCTATTGTTTCAATGTTTTGTTAATTTGAGATGACAGTTAAAAAATGAGAAACGGGGAACTGTTCGTTAAATTATGATGGAAAGAAAATATTATTTAATTTAATGAAGCCAATTGTTACATTGCACAATGTACATCCAGTGTTTTAAAAACTACTATGAAGATCATTTTTACCTCTGATAATTCAGCAGTACGAAGACAAACTTGTTATAAATGATGATCAACTTCTTTCCCCCAAAAGAGCAAAATTATATTTCCTGTTAATTTCCTTTCAAACTGGTATTTTCAATGTCTGTAAATTGGGACACTAACTTTTACATTCAACGTAAGTCAAGAATACGGTTGATTGAATTACGATCTTTTGTTTCATTTATAGTTTAAATCATTTTTCTTTTAATTACCCTTTGAAAACGAGCTCTGTTTTGCTTTAAGGACAATTTTCTTTAAAGAATACGTG